AAAAAGGGCACATTTTTCCCTGTTGCAAAAAGTGGGGGGGCACTTGCCCCCAATGCCCCCCCGTTTCCGCGGCCTCTGTTCGTCATTGTATTGTGTGTACAGAAAATGTGTATTGTCATTGTGGATTAGTGTGAAGTGAAATATTTTATTTTTAGTTGTGATGTGTGATTTAGGTGTGATATTTTTAGTTATAATGTGAGGGTGTCGATTGTGTATTGTCATTGTGAATTAGTGTGAAGTGTAATGTTTTTAGTTGATCGTTTGTTTGTATTGTGAATAAGTCGTTTGTAAGGTGCCGGTAATTGCTGTGATCTGTTTAGGGGGGTTTGTTCCAAGTTGGTATACCAACTTTCTTATGTAAGCCGTTACCTATAGTTAGTACTGTAAACGATGAATTTTGCCGAGTCCCAGTCAATGTTGTGTTTTTTGATTCGTTGATGTTCTGCAATGTGATTAGTTTTGTCTTGTTTCTTAGTACCTCGTTTGTGCTCAGTAAGTCTTATGTTTAAGTTCCCGCCAGTTTCCCTGATATAGGAGTCGTGGCAGTCGGAGCAGTTTATTTTGTAAACTGCACCTTGTCGTTCGTTGGGTCGTTCATTGTCCTTTATGTTCGTTAGTACTTGTCGTAACGTTGTGATTGGTCTATATGCGACACGTATGTTGTATGGTCGTAAGATACGCGAAATAAACTCGGACGTACCTTTGATGTAAGGTATCGTTGCTGTTGTCACTGAGTTGTTCGTTTCGTTAGGTTCGTTGGGTTTGTAAGTGTTGCGTTTGATAAAGTCAGAGTTATAGTTGTTTTTGTCAAAAACACGTTTGAGATCGTTACCTTACAAACGACTTATTCACAATACAAACAAACGATTAACTAAAAACATTACACTTCACACTAATTCACAATGACAATACACAATTGACACCCACACATTACAACTAAAAACATCACACCTAAATAACACATCACAACTAAAAATAAAATATTTCACGTCACACTAATCCACAATGACAATACACATTTTCTGTACACACAATACAATGACGTAAGAGCCAGATAACAAATACGGCTAACCTGACGTTTACTCCTCATTTAACTCTGAAGATGACTACCGCTAAGGTTGTCGAAACGTCAGTCAACAACAACAAAAACAGTCCTTCTCAGGATTTTATTAACCTGGAAGATCATCATTTACAAACATGTAAAGGTACTCCCGGGTTCAAACCATTTACTTTAGAAATGTTAGTGTATTGCATTGTGATTTTGGGGCTGAAAATTATATCCAAATGAAATGAAAACAGAGATCAAATACACACCTTTAAGGTAGTCAATAAACTTTGAATTTGTCATGAAAGGACAGTTTTATTAGTAAAATTTACTTTATTCGGTAATATGACTCTTCTAAATATAGGCGTATGGAAAGTTATTTTTATTAAAATTTTTTGTATTCTAACCTTAAATATTTTAACGTAGTAGCAACTTTAGTCTTCTCTTAAACTCTTTACTAAAGTAAACAATCAAGTTTATCGTCCGAAACCTAAAACTAACATATATTGCAACTGTCGATCTCTGTGCAGATGGAAATGAATTAAACATAATTACACGTAGGCAACGAGTTGCTTGTGTATTTTTATTTAACTTGCGACTTATTTTATTTGCAAAATGTTCCTGCGTATTGATGGAGTATAGTTTTTTAAGCAAAGAAAAATTTTTGTGTCTATACTAACGATAAAGCTGGAAATAATCTAAATGAAAGATGCGTATATTTCGCTGTCAACGGTTCGGTTATCATAGTGCAGTTGAGAGTATCAAGTTTTTATTTGATTATAAAAACCTTACTTACTTTTTTATGGGAACTTTCTGTCAAAGCTTTTTTAACAAACTTTACTTACTTTACTGAAGTTATGGATTTATGACGTTCGTTGATGATTGTAATGTTCTTAAAATTGGTCACGTCGCAATAATTTTCCAGCTGAGTATCAAGAGTTATGTTGCTTATCTTTCAGTTTATGCTTTATTCTTTTTACTCGATTGAATCTAAATTTACTTCTTTTGTTTCAAGGGATTTTTTGAACAATGAAAAAAATGCTTTTTAGTGGATAGCGATAAGGAAACGAAGAAAGGGAGATCAAACTAAAGTCAATGCAGATCATTTATTTTAGATACAATAGATTAAGAACACCGGACGATGTTAAAATTCTTTCTCTTAATATGAAAATAACAATTGTCCATGCAGAGCTTCCCATTAGTAATTTCATTTCAATTTCCCGTTACGTCATGATACATGTAAAAAACCTATGAAATCATAAAGTACTTTACAATTTCTTGTAAGGCAGCCTCTATAGCTGTATAGCTATACCCGTATTGTCTCTATAGTTATACCCGTATTGCATTTTCATTCAAATTTTATAATTCATCGAATTAAACACATTAGGACCTATAAAACAGCTAAATTACTCAGTTGACAAATTCATAAAGTTACAGTTGAAAAATTGACTAAATATATTAAAAATTTCAAACAATAATGACCAAAATAATGTTGAAACTAGTGTTACATATGTACATTACATGCACAGCGGAGTATATTTCTATTGTGGAGGAAGTGCTCGCGATATAAATGAACGTCGATATTAAGGGCCGCTAAGTAGTTTTGGGTTTCAGCGTTATCTTGAGATTGCTCAAATTCTTTTATAAAAATTTACAGAAATATCACAGAAAATCGTGGAAATATTTTGCAACTTTTTACATTTTTGCAATGTTGTTGTTACTCCTTTGTTTGCAGTTATTCTTGGAGTACTAACTGACAATGAATACTCCATAACAATTGAAAATCTCAAGCGGATTTCTTTTCTATTTTTTGCAAGTGCCGCTGAAGAACAAAATTATTTACAGAACAGTGAAATAGGGTTTGTTTTTGATTTAGTTGAGAGATTTTAGCGAAAATATAATAATATATATGACTCAAAATATGAATGTAATAACCTGTCACGAATCCTACATCAAGCATGGAGGTATTGTAGTAAATGAAACTCAGTGGAAGAAAAAATTTGCAGTAGTAAATGTTAACATAGCATCGAAGATAAAAAACATCTGTTTTATTATCAACTACATCACAACTTACCTTTGTTCTTTTATTAATTGAAAAACGGTCACAATAAGGCGACTGCAGAAATACACCTTACACAAGCAGAGAAAAATTAAGATACGTTTAAGTCAGACGAACAAAGGAGTTGTGGCTTTCGCAAGCTTTTACTTGCAACTGCTGGCCAAGGCTGTCGGCTTCCTCAAATGTACAGTGCCATATTGAGTATATACAAACACTCATACCATCTGACTCATGACATCTGAAATAATGACTTCTTTATTAAATAATGTTCAAGCGATTGGGTTTAGCATAAAGAATCAAAAACAACATCATTTCGATATCAATTTCAACTTGGTATATGAGAAACTTTTAGTTTATGCATTGGACGGCCACTTTGTGAGATATTATATCCAACTAAATTAAAACTAGATATGATGATTTTATTTTAGGCAATTTTTACAATTTTTTTCGTAGTATAGCTTTTGTAATTAGTTCTTAAGTGTTGTCCTTAAGTCTGCGTTCTGATGTGAAGAGGTGCACCGAAAACATGTAGAAACAGATAAATTTCGAAATATCACATTAAAATTAGCTGTATTATAAGGCCTTTACTAATTGTGAGGTCTTAAAGAGAAATATCGGATCATTTAATTATTTATGAGCAGATCGCAGGCTCGAAGAACGAATAAACGAAATAGGTAATATAATAGGTTTATTATAAAGGATTATTTTAACTGAAACGAAGCTTTCTTTACTTTTTTGTCCTCGCTGTTTTGTAAAAGTTAACATTCATACCTGTTTCATTTTTGTTTTCAAAATTTTTGCTATTTGCTTTTCGAAATTTGTTTACATTTGTAAAATTACATGTAATGGCCGCCGACATGAATTGTTATTAATCAGAGACTATATATGGTCATTGTCCACATTAAGTCATTAACAGCATATGTAATAACATGGTTGCCACGAGATCTTTTGTTATCACATAGACGTTTACAGACGTATTTCCTCATCATAATATTCATTAGGGATGTTTAGACTAAATATCCTGAATGCATGAATAATAAAACAAAACGCCAATTCTTGGATTGCATCCAATCTTCAAGAAATTATGAAACAATGTGTCTCACCCATGTCGGCTGTTGTCAACCATGGCTTTGATAAGATATTCTTTTGTATTTGAGCAGAAATATGGTGGCGTGACGTAACACGCAATCCACCTATATTATTTTCAAATTCCATTTTCGTCATGTAGAATTTGCTTCAGATTGCATCTTCATTTTCAACAGGTTGATCACTTTCAATTCTGCTCAATAAAAAGTTTAAAAGCTTGATATCTTCAGCATGTCCTTTAAAACCACAATAGACCCTTTGCAGTAACGTCACGCACTCTTTAGCAACTGTTGCTGGGGGAGCATCTGGAGGACAAGCACATGTGCACGCTTTATATGACAATATGGCTAGTAACATAAAGTCAGCGCTTTCTAGGTCAAAAAAAGGTTTTTTGCCTGGATATATAGAAAATATTCAGTGTAAGGATAGTAAAGCGCGTTACAAAATGAAATTAGGACATTGCAATGGCGATGATCCGTACTAAATACCAAAAAATCATTGGCTCGACGATATCGATCTGTGGCCTGCTGTCAGCTACATTGATGTTGGCATGTATTTATTATTTTCGGTCAGTGCGTACAGGAAAGAGCAGTTACAAACTATAAGAGTCTTGATAGTTATCAATATTTTGTGAATAGATGGGTGCGTGAAGTGTTGGTAAAAAAATATGACGATCATTGCTTGCTTATTGCTAAGGTAAATGCCTCTCAGTTGTCACTAAAAACATTGCACATTGGCTGCACTCGTGCTATAATAAGACTGAACGCCTTGTTTCTTTTTTCACTACGCCAGGTTAATCACTCTCAAAGAATGTCGGAAAAGCCACTTACTCCTTGGGTTGTTTGCGAAAAGAACGGCAAAGTATTAACAGCGCACTGCGATTGTATGGCAGGAATAGGTGAAAGCTGCTCTCACGTCGCTTCACTTCTGTTGGCTGTTGAAGCTGGTGCACGAAAACGAGATTCTTTAACTGTGACTGATAAGAAGGCATACTGGGTCCTTCCAAGTGCTGTCAAGGCTGTGCCATACGCTAAAGTACAGAATATCAATTTTAGTAAATTTAATAAGTAATGCGAAGGCAAAGTGCAAACAAATCCAGTTCCTGCCCCATCATCGTCAGAATTGGATGAATATTTTAAAACTATTAGTTCTTCCTCATCAAAACCAGCAATACTTTCTTTAATACATCCATATTCTGATTGTTATGTACATAAAGCCTTGCACTCTGAGTTGCCACCAGTCATGAGTGATCTTTATGATCCCACACTATTAGACAAATCACTTGAAACTTTGCTGGAATTATCAGAGTCGAAAATGGACTGCTTTAATGTTACAGTTGAGCAGCAAAAAGCTGTAGAAGAAAAAACTAGAGATCAAGCGAATTCTCGTCTTTGGTTTTGATTTCGTGCTGGAAGAGTGACTGCTTCAAGGTTCAAAGCGGCTTGTCGCACCAACAGAGATTCACCTTCCAAGAGTTTGATCACAAGCATTTGCTATCCAAAGCTGAAGAAATTTTCAACTGCAGAAACAAGATGGGGTTGCCAGCATGAAGAGGTGGCAAAAGACGAATATCGAAAATGGCTAAACACAAACCATGAAAATGTTTCAGTAACAAACAGTGGATTCTGGATTCATTTGACCCATGGATTTCTTGGTGCTTCTCCAGATGGACTTGTCTCTTGCCAATGTTGTGGCACTGGGATTTGTGAAATAAAGGTTTGTTATTCATTGTGTCTATGTTTTATGGGAAAAAGGTCAACATAATAATTACATCACCTATTGATTTTGTTTTGATAGTGTCCGTTTTGCCATAAAGATGAGACGATTGAAACTTCAACAGATGACAGGTTGTTTTGCATTGAAGTAAAAAGTGATGGAACAAAACAACTTAAAAGAACTCATGCATATTACTATCAAGTACATTTGTAAATTATTCTAATTTCATTTAACAAGCTTAATGTATAGCAATTCACTTTCTTAAGTTATTGCTCAGTTGTCATGCACTGGTTAGAGCTAATGTGATTTTGTAGTGTGGACAGAAAAAGACTTGTTTTCATAAATCCGTTTAACAAGCTTAATGCATAGAAATTCACTTTTTTAGGTTATGGCTCAGTTCTCATGCACAGGTTTGAGCTACTGTGATTTTGTTGTGTGGACAGAGAAAGACTTGTTTGTTGAACGAATCTTGCAAAATAACGAATTTGTAGAAAGGAACATGGATGCAGAAAAGAAATTTGTGTTAAGGGGACTCCTTCCAGAGTTAACAGGAAAATGGTACTCAAGACCCCAAAAAATTGAATAAATGAAAAATAATAAAATCAAATGTCTTATAAATAGTATTAGTACAATTTTAAGTGTATGCATGCAAAATCTTTCAAAAAATATGATTTAGTCATAAGGTACGACAGAATCACAAATGTTAATTAGTGCACAGCTAACAGTAACTATTTTGTCAATCGTAGTGGGCTCATTTTCTTTAGAATTGACAAAATCAATTGGCTGAGTTGAACTCAGAAGTGCATATTTCTTTCTAATGTTTCCAATCACTCTTTCCACATGAATCCTCACATTAGCAATTTATCTGGTTTGTTCAACTTCAATGCCACTCAGCTGTTTTTTACCCTTAGTAAAAGCTGGCATCTTGATAGTTGCACAGTACAAACCAACTGACTCCTGGATATCAAAGCCTCTATCAGCTAGGATTACATCTCCATGTAAGAGCTTATCAAGGAGACCACTGTTCTCAGTCAAAGTTTTGTCACTGACTCTTCTTCCCCAGCCACTGGAAAAGCTTACTGTACCCTGGGGAGTGACAGCAATTTAGTACTTAATCGTGTTGTGGTGTTTGTAGCATGAGTAAGTTTGTGCCCTCGCAAGAGGATTTAATGCACAATCCAAAAAAAATTTCAAAGCAGTCAATGATGGCAACACATTTAGGGCAGTGTTTTCTAAAATCCATGGGCAACGTCTTTCTTAAGGCTTTCCTGTCAGGCCATAAAATAAGAGGGCTTATTCGATTATAAAGAACATCAATTACTTGTAAGAAAATTCTTGATACAGTTCCCTTGTTGATGTTTCCAAATCGATAAGCCAAATCTACACCAGTTAAATTAAGTCGCAGGTTCATAACTGTTAAAAGCAACTGCCTAAATGGTGGCAAAGAGCATTTGGGAGAATGCATAAGGTAGGGGCTTACCAGTTCCAGTGTTGCTGACAAGATCTTCCAATTTGGCAGACCAGTGTAAAAGAGGACTTTTTCGTCATCATTTAAGAAGGATTTCTCGTCAAGCGTCACGTCACTTATCTTATTTTTTAACTCAAGATTTTCTTGGGTCAAGCGATTGATCTCGCTCTTCATTGCAGTTATTTTATCCAAACTCAGTTCTGTTTGTGAATATTTGTTGTTCGATTCTGATTCTGACAATGAAGCAGATGTGGCTCCGTGTTCTTCGTCTACAAGATGGTTTGTCAAGGTCGATTGAGTCACTGCTGACAGTACTGTTTCAATGGATTCACTTCTTTTTCGTTTTTCATTTCTCTCCGAAATACGAGCATAGCGATCGACATCAACTTTTTCCACATATGTATGTCCAAGGTTTTGAGATGGAGCCCAGTCTGGATTAGTTTGGTCCGTTAAAGCCGATGGTTTCCCTGTCATTGTAAACAAAACAACAAATGGTATAAAATGACACAAACGAACACAACAAAGCTTTTTTTAACTCATTGGCTTACCAGTAGCAAAATGAAGGCTGCACACTCGTAAATACGTGCATTTAGAATCGTCAATGTCTGCCCGACGAATTCTTCGAAGCCACAAAGAACGACGTTCCTTGTGTAAATCTTGCAATATTTTGCTCGCATTGCTTTTCAGAGCTGGTATGCGATAAAAACTTAATTCCTTATCCCGATCGCTTCGAACAGCCATAAATTGCGCAAAAGTTAACCATCCCCCTAACAATAATATTGCTTTGTTATTTACATTTGGCGTTTGCTTGTCCTCCAGATGTAACGTCACCGGGTTGTGACGACACATGCAATGGGTCTATACTTCTTTTTTCCTGTTTCAATTAAAAAACTGTATATGATTATCTGAGATAATTTTAACTTAACACGCACTACTGGTGAAAGAGTTCTTATTTTTAAATAATTAAACACCGCATATACAGCCGTATTTGCCGAAGATAAAAGAGTTATCATGAAATCGCAAGGTGAAACGGTGTCCATTCCCCGAGGGTGTCCGCTTGATCAGGTTTGTGTGTTATTCAAATACTTTGCTTACATATACACACACAGTTTCTGTAGCAAAAACGTGAATAAAATAATATATATTTATACGTGCAGAACATATCAAACAAAAACTTTTTCAATTCTAAAGAAGACATTTTATCAGATAAACAGTGATAGATATATAAATTAAAATGAAATATTTAAGATGCATTTGTTAAGAGTTTTTACTAACACAGGCTTGTACTACAAATAACGACAAAAGTCCTTTACTTATACTTTTATAAATTTCCTAATAAAATCAAAATCACTTTTGCCCTTGACTAATTATTGTTGCATTGGATTCGTCAGCGTTTTCTCCCCCGCTAACATTTTCAACAGGTGGAAAAGAAGTGGGCACATCACGCACAATATCTTTAGGATTTGGATTTGGATTTGGATTGTCACCGAAGATAATTGCAGGCATTGGCACCGTTTGTACGTTTTGCCCTTTATTTGTAGATTTTACCAGTGGCGTAGCAAGACAAGAAACGTACATCTTCGTGCATCTAAAATTTGAAATAAAACAATCCCAAAAAATCAAGAAACTGTCTAGCTGTATTACACCATCGAATTATAACTATTTGCTGTGAACATGAAGTTTGTCAAAAAAACGTTAATTACTATAAAATAAAAGACTTTGTTACTCACATGTTCGTTGCCATGGTGGTACTGTTGTAAGACTGTACAAGGGAGTCGTCGACTGGACATTACAATATCCATCCTTAATTTCAATATCTTCCACAGCAATATCTCCTTTATAACCAGATCCTCTGACTCCTTCAATAATAATCTAAACAAAAATGAATGAGCTCTACTATCATAATAACACTTAAATATACGTTTATTTTATGTATTCTGCAGTATTTTTTACAGTAGAGGCATGATCCTGGCTAGATATTTTCTCAAGTCTAGTTTCTTTATCAGCAGTATTGTGATCTAGAGTCTTTGTTTGATATCTTCATAAAGAGCGGTCTACTTTGATTACTTTAAAACTTTTGTAAAGTCTACCAGAACTTATTATTTGTTAATCTAGCCTACCTCAATGAAATATTTTAAAATCGCACATAAAATCATGTACTTTATAGGTATAATATATGCCATCCACATATACTTGTGCTTTAAGCCACGCATTACTATGATTACTGCTTTTGCTCCAGACTGAATATTTACTTCCGTAGATTTTTCTGTACACATTCAAGGATCCAATATTGTTGCCATACATATGATAGTAAAATGTGAGACATTTTATAAGCATACTGATCAACCATGCTTTGCTTCTTTGCTTTCGGGGAGAGGATGTTTCAATGAAAAAATACTTTCCTGGTATAGAAAAGAAAAGCAAATAAGTGATGGCTGAAATCTAACCTTTCTGTGCACACAAGGATTTCCGCATCAGCAAGTTCTTATTGTTTTTATGGGTTTTAGCGTATTGGTTTGCCATGATGATCCCATTACTCACTGAGGTCAATACAAGCTTTGCATTGCTTTTTCATACAGACTTTAATTAACTGTCTCAAAACTTTGTTCTTTCTGTAACAGATAATATATGTCCTTTATGGCTAATTTATTCATTGACGAAAATTGCTATAGATGTTTAAATTAACCAATTCTTTTAAAATGATGACTAATAATTAATCAACACTTACCATAAATTGATCCTTTGAGTCTTCGCTTGGACCAGTATTGGAGTTTGATGTATTGCCACTGCCAATTGACCAATCAAAATCATCGCTTGTTTATCATTATGCCATGGACATGACGCTGTTCCCAAACCGAGATCGCAAACTAGATTAAAAGCAGTCACAATAATAAAATAGAGAAGGATTTATTAATAACGTTTCGTCTTTAACTTAAGACATCTTCAGATTAATTGAGTTAATTTATATACACGAGGTTTTAAATAGTTTTTTTGAGTTTTCACGATCAGAAACATGTTTTAGGTGCTGAAGTCAAGGTTTGAAACCAAAGATGCCAGTCTTGAATGTGCGGTCGTAGCTTGTGATGACAGTACTCGTATCCGAGCGTGCTTTGCGTTTATTTCTTCTTGTAACAATTTGTGTTATTAAGTCTTATGTTTGGCTATTATGTTCATATTGAAAATTCGCTTTCCGCCTGGCAAATCTCTGGCCACGATTTTAAAAAAAGCAGTCACGCTTTAGTGAATGTAAACATTAAACACAACTCAGAATCTATCTCATAAAAAAAGAAAAATATTTCAAACATCTATTTATCGCCTTTGTCTGTCAAGAAATCAAGATTAAAGTCGATGAGTAAGAATGTAAGAACATGATTCTGTTGTTCATATAAAAAAGGGCGACGTTTACAACCATCAATTAATTAGAAGTAAGATGTTTAATTCAAAATCATGAAAAGTAGCTTTTTAAAAACATGGGTGTAGATTGGTTGAATGCTCAAAAGCCTATGTTTTTATAAATCGATTGGAACACTGTTTCTTAAATATGTTAGTATATAAATACGTATATACAAAAGGTTCACAGTAAGTTTACATCAAGTACAAGTAGAAACTACAGATATACTTACATTTCTTCACTAGGTGGTGTAATATTGAAATCCATGTGAAATACATTTAGCTACCAGAGTTGAAGCTGAAAGGTGTGATTTTCTTGCAAAAACGTTTCGACCAAATTCTTGATATTTTTACATAATCGAAGCATTCATCTAAATAAACATAGAAATTTTCGTTCCTAAAAATCACACTTAGAGTTACTTTATAAATTAAAAAAAAAATTTTCATTTTTATTCATCATTATCAGTGAAATGTTTTCAAAATTTTTAAATGAAAAATACCTTCGACGAAGACATTAGTTATTACACGAAAGAAATAAAATTCATCTGAAATTCTAGGGTTGGTTTTTGCATTCAAGTAATTTTCAACATGATCTCTTAATTATTTTGCTATTTAATAACATGCTTTATAAAATTCATCGAAAATTTAAAAAAAGTTTAAGTTTCCGTATTGTTCCTTACCACCTGAATAAAATCTATTTTCAAGATTAGGTTTGGTAAACGTTAGGCGAAAGGAAAAACCAGATTGTGCTCGTAAAGTTTAGATACAATTTATGTTATTGTCATATTTAGTGGGATAATTAGGTGAAGTAATGTTTCCCCTGAATAGAGTCATTTCTCTCGTTGGACAAATGTTAATGCCAAAACCTATGAGTCTGAGAAAATCGTTTTAAGAACACATCATGAGATATGAAAGCGATCAATAAGAAACCAAATTTCATTCATATAAATATGAATGTTTTTTAATTGACAGACGACTTACTTTTTGATGAAAAACTTGTGACTAAAAGAACAAACAGAATTAAATTCCACCATTTTGACACCATGATACAGTGGCAGATTTAGGGTACCTCAAACCAGCAAAGTGAAGTAGGCAATGTTTTTAAAATGCTTAAGTTCTATATTCCAAAATCAAAGCAAACATAGATAATCAATACTTTTGTTCAAAAAGACATTCTCGTGCAAAATCCTTAACATATTACGCGTTACTATACGCAAGTAAAATAGCAAGTGCTATTTTGTTATAGTCAGCAGTATATGTATGGATGTATAAGTGGTCGACAGTCTTCAAAGCTCAAAAAATGTTTTAGCTTTAAATTTTGATAGGTTTGCGAAACTCGTTGCTGAATAGGAAAATTACAGGAATGCTAGTGTATTGCATTAGTGAATGTTAGTGTGTTCTGGGCTGCAAGTTATATCCAAATAAATTGAATACAGATATCAAATACACACATTTAAGGTGATTTTAAAAGGTGTCCATAGCCACTTGTCCACCAGAATCAGGGAACACACTACATCTGAAAAAAACTCACATATCTATTGACACCTTTTAAAACACACTCATGCAAATTAACTATTTACCCTCTTGCTTAAAAATTATTGGCATTGCAGATACTACATTCTTACTTAAAATCAAAGAAGCACATCACATTAACAAAACTACCCCTAATCTCAACGCTCAAGTTTTTCGTTTTAACACTATATTCAGTCTGTAAACACACTCATTACTAATTCCAACCAATATTTTATTGTAATATTTATTTTATTGTAATATTGTGGTATGTTCCCTGATTCTGGTGGATAAATAGCATCACCATATATATTATTTCAAGCGCGTACCGAAAGTTTATCTTCAAAACACATTTTGATTTTATTGAGTTGATATAAAATTTTACAAAATATGAGTCTTGATATTAAAAGCAAAAGGTGTGTTAAGCTTTGGTTACATTTTAAATAAAATTTTGAATTTTAATCAATATATTCCTATCAATTTCGAAAATTCACAAAGGGGGTATATTTTAACATGCAGGATCTGCCACTGCATAATAATACCACAAACTTAATGAATAATTTAAGAAAGGACACACAAGAACTATCTTTGCAACAGCTACGAGAAACTGATATGAAGACATTTCAAAAGTAAGACGGAAATTCTTTCAATGCAGTCAGCAGTATCATTTCAAAACATTTTAGTGTCATAGTTCGTCTGGCTCGAGTCAATATTTAATCACCCAATACGAGTGATCTCATTGGTTTAGTAGAATCATATTAATATTCATAAAGAAAAAGTATTCATAATTTTCCTAATAATTTCTCATTGTTGACATATTGTTTATATTAAAAAGCGAAAGACTATTGCTCAATGGATGTTAAGTTAGTTTAATACTTTTTTTCCATTTTACCTCTAAATATCTGGATTTTGTATTTATTGGCAACTTTAGTCTTCTCTTAAACTGTTTAGTAAAGTAAACAATCAAGTTTATCGTCCGAAACTTAAAACCTAAATAAAAAAGAGAGGCGGCAGGTTCGGGCACCCATGGTTTTTTTCGGTGCTCGCTATCTATTTCTTCGCTACTCGCTATCTATTGAAAAATAAATAGCGAGTAGAATAGCAAATCAAATTAAAGAATTTGCAATAGAATACGAGCATAATTGAAACTGTCTATCTCTATGCATCTAGCTTAATTGAAAAGGAATTAATCATTACACGTAGGCAACGAGTTGTTTGCATGTGTATTCATTTAATCGCGACTTATTTTAACTGCATAAATGTTCCTGCGTATTGATGAAGTATAGTTTTATTTAAGCAAAGAAACATTTTTGTGTCTATTCTATCGATAAAACTGGAAATTATCAAACGAAAGATGCGTATATTTCGCTGTGAACTGTTCGGTTGTCATAGTGCAGTTCAGAGGTATCAAGTATTTATTTGATTATTAAAACCTTACTTACTTTCTTATTGGAACTTTCTGTCAAAGTTTATTTAACAAACTTTACTTACCTTACTGAATGTATGGATTTATGATGTACGTTGATGATTGTTTTAAAATTGGTCACGTTGCAATAATTTTCCAGCTGAGTATCAAGAGCTTCCTTGTAAACCTATTATGATTATATTAACTTTAACACTCACTAAAGGAGAACAGGTTTGTGTAAATAGTTAAATAAACAACGGATACATCCGTATTTGCAGAAGAGTATCATGCGTTATCATGAAATGGCAAAATGTAACGCAGTTTTTTGTTTGTTACAAATCAACTATAAGAAACTTACTAATCACACGATCATCTCATCCTAAATCTTAGGATAATTTTAGAATCCCGAATATATAGAAATTTATAAAAGCAACTGTTGAACATAGAGAAGCTGTTGAACATAGAGCAACTGTTGAACATAGAGCAACTGTTGAGCATAGAGCAACTGTTGAACATAGAGCATCTGTTAAACATAGAGCAACTGTTGAACATAGAGCAACTGTTGAGCGTAGAGCAACCGTTGAACATAGAGCAACTGTCCAACGCAGAGCAACTGTTGAACATAGAGCAACTGTTGAACGTAGAGCAACCGTTGAACGTAGAGCAACTGTCGAGCATAGAGCAACTGTTAAACATAGAGCAACTGTTAAACAAAGAGCAACTTTTGAACGTAGAGCAACTGTCAAACATAGAGCAACTGTTGAACGTAGAGCAACTGTTGAACCTAGAGCAACTGTTGATTATAGAGCAACTGTTGAACGTAGAGCAACTGCTGAACATAGAGAACCCGTTGAGCATAGAGCAACTTTTGAACGTAGAGCAACTGTTGAACATAGACCAACTGTTGAACGTAAAGCAACTGTTGAATGTAGAGCAACTGTCAAACATAGAGCAACTGTTGAACGTAGTGCAACTGTTGAACATAGAGCTACTGTTGAACGTAGAGCAACTTTTGAATGTAGAGCAACTGTCGAACATAGAGCAACTGTTGAACGTAGTGCAATTGTTGAACAAAGAGCAACTGTTGAACATAGAGCAACCGTTGAACATAGAGCAACTGTTGAACGTAGAGCAACTGTCAAACATAGAGCAACTTTTGAACGTAGAGCAACTGTTGAACCTAGAGCAACTGTTGATTATAGAGCAACTGTTGAACCTAGAGCAACTGTTGAACATAGAGCAACCGTTGAACATAGAGCAACTGTCCAACGTAGAGCAACTTTTGAACATAGAGCAAGTGTTGAACGTAGAGGAACTGTCGAACATAGAGCAACCGTTGAACGTAGAGCAACTATCGAACATAGAGCAACTGTTGAACATTGAGCAACTGCTATAATTTGTCTCTTTATAAAACCTTTGTGCGTACAAAAAAATATCAAACATGTTAAATTTTAATGGAGTCATACCTTTTCTTGTAGGTGAAAGTGTGTGTGTGGAAGTTAGCGTGAATGTATTACCTGAAAGTTGCCTCACAAATTGGAGACGAAAGCCAACTTTTGTAACATCCCACCGAAAGACATCCGAATATATTTGAACTTTAACGACATTACCACCAGGTTTGAAATTTAAAGGTGCAATTCGCCCTCCAGTTATATAGTTAAAAAAGGCCCTAATTAGGGACATTTAGACTAAATATTCCTCATCAATAATGAAAAAATACGCCTTCAAATTTCATGTAGAAATTGTTTCAGCTTGCATCTGCACTTTTCAGCGGATAAATCATTTTCAATTCCGCTAAATGAAAAAGAATAATAACATGATGTCTTCAGCAAGGCCTTTGAAACCACAATACTTCGTGGGCAAGTAAACCGAGTCAAAAGTCCTCATGCTCGACTGTTGTTACATCGTTACTTCTTCGGAGTCAAACACGAGTAATTCTGTCCTTTCGCTCAAAGTCGCTAAACTTGTGTTATTACAAGCCTTAGACCCGTTTCAAACGTCGCATTTTATATGAGTCAAATGAATTTAAAACAAAAGATAATGAGAATTTTTATCTCATTTTCTTTTGTCTTTAATGCATTCGGCGCATGTAAAATGCAACGTTTGAAACGGGTCTAAGTGCTTCGCAGTTTGTTCGTTGAGTGGTAAGACTAAGACAAATCGTCTTTCCTCACGTCTGAAAGTTTCTTGTTAGTAGCTAACTTTGGAAAACCAGTGATTAACCACCAATAACTTAAACAATAAATAAATAACAGCATATGTTTTTGCAAAGCAATGGGTTCACTAAACCAATTCAAAAACAGAATTCACAATTAAACAGCTAAATGAATTTGTTTATCCATCCCTGACCATGAACAATGTACGCTTCAAACACCATCGATGATTGTCAATATTCAAACAAGTGACCTCAAAATGAGATACAATTTTTGTCAATGCATTGATTATTCCCTTCGGAGCCAGGTTATTTCAAAGTAAACGCGTGGTTATTAGTGATTAAATGTTCTCTTAAGTCTCGAGAGTTTCACTAAGCCTCCCTCGGTTTGCGGGACATTTAATCACTAATATTCCTGAAAGCATGCGTTTACTTATAATCAATCGCAGTTTTTTTAAATAAAAACTTAATGTCTAAGCTCGTTGTTTTTGTTAAGTAATTATTTCTAATATACATGCAGCATGCAGACTACGTAGATTCTTTATCATCCAACAAGAATATTTTATTCAAAGTGTAGACCTATGTATTTAACTTAAAACCATAAGGTAATTACTTCAGAAATACCTGCTTTTATCAAATCATTTTATCACTCCCATTCAACTACAACTTACCATGAAATCTTCACAATTGTAATTTAAGTATTACTGCCAAATATCAAAGATTTCATGCCAAGATATTAAAAACGGTTCATCAATCATCACCATACTAAATAAAAAACCCCCTTGCTTTGTTTAGGTGGGTGTTAGAAGCTTAATACTTGATCACGTACAATAGCTGATACAGTAATACAACTGTTTGATATTACTAAGTTTCAATCGGTTTTCTTCTTTTAACGCGATCATTTCAGATTGAAAGATCTTTCTTATGAAAAAGACACCAGAAATCCAAACCTTTATGGCTTCCCAAGCTTCTTCTCGTTACCATCACTTGGGATCAATCCGCCTGCTTAGTGAGGGCAACCAGAACAAGCTTGGGAGCCTAGACAAAACAAGTGCTCTTAGCTCTATACAATTTATACCTTCTTTTAGCGTCGACACATTTTCTCTTCCATCAATTATAAGCCATGGAATAAATTCTTGTAGCCAATCTGTATCAATAATATACGTTGAGTCTTTATGATCTGCCTTAACCTTGCCACCAACAACTTACTCAATTTTCTGATCGACACAGAGAATTCTTGACTTCTACAGCTTGAGATCATCATTCGACAAATATCTATCAGATAGTGAGCTAACAAGTTATTTTCATCCTAAATGGTTAGAGTTTATGATTGGTTCTAAGTACAATAAAGAAAAATATACGAGACATAAATACATCTAAATTGCAAAACTATTGCTCATTCACTGTTATTGCTTAATTGGAAAGCTCATTTATATTAGCTAGGTAAATACTTTCTGAAATATTTTTTCCAATTAAAATTACAAAGTACATTGGAAAGGCAAATTGTTTCTATTTTAAAAGTTAACAAGCATTGAGGACATTATTTTATCACAACAAAAATGAATAATTGCTTCACACACATGTATTTATGTAAGTGTGGTTTTTAAAGTTTCAACAACTGGTTTGTGGTTATTCATTAGTTATTAAATTATTACTTGATAATACAAACGCTTTGCCTACTTTCACATGCAGTTTCTTCAGCAAAAATTAATAGATAAAATTGTATTTATCTGTGCAGAGCCTGTCAAACGATATTTTTCTCCATTCTATAGAGGACATTTTATCAGAATAACAGTGTTTGATATATAAATAAAATTGAGTTATTTAACATGCATTAGTTAAGTGCTTTACAAACACAAGGCTTGTACTACAAACAATGATAAAAGTCTTCTATTTATACTTTCATCAGATTTCAAAATAAAATCAAAGTCACTTTTGCCCTTGACCGACTATTGTTGCATTGGACTCGTAAACGTTTCCTCTTGCGCCAACATTTTCAACTATTCAATAGTAGTAACATTACGCACAATCTCTCAAGTTTTTGGATTTGCATTGGAATTGTTACCAGAGATGATTGCAGTCATCGGTACCGTATATACGTTTTGCCCTAAATTTTCTGCTGGTGTCAAGTGGGGAATAACACCATGATTGGTAAAACCAGGAGTAGCGTTGATGTAGAATGGCGATGTGTTACAAACGTTTTCGTAACTAGGTGGTGTTATGCCTGTCATAGTATTCTGTTGATTGGTTTGATGAGTCGGATTCTGAGCACTCCCAGGCTGAGTGGTGGAACTGGTTGAACTTCTTTGTCTGTTCTTCTGACGTACGTAATAAATGATAACCATACCAATAACAAGTAGAAGAAGAAGACCACCACTTGCTCCCGATATAATTGCAATGTTTCTTGTTGAATATGATTCGTTTTCGTTTGAAGCTAAATGAAATTTAAATTTTAACTGTAAAGACGCTAATAACAATATAAAAAAATCTGTTTTTGTAATGGCTTGGTTTGTCCTAAATATTTAATATTCAAGCAAAAACATGCAGCGAAGCAAACTATTAATCTATGCAAACTTAATAACAAGATCTTTTATGATTTTGGATGGATTATTATTCTCTAGCTACTTTGTCAAAAAATGTCACTATCATGTTATCTATGAATTCCATTTAAGCAAGTGTGCAGTTTATTGCAATGATTTATCAACATAAAGATTAAAAGCGAACAGACCGTTTTCAAAAATGCCAAAAGCAAATTGGTTTGACAATATTTATCATATTTGTGTATGAATACAGAAGTGTGAACTCAATACAGAAGTTTATGCAATAATATATTTAGATTTTTACATGGTTGGATGTATTGACTTAATGTGGTCAGTCACTTGCTTAATAAATATTATAAAACCATGCTGCTTATAGCTTTTTAGAAAAAGATAGGTTGCGCTCTAATCTTTATATGTTGGGATGAGACTGTTTCCTGGCACCTTTCTGGCTGCTATGGTTTTTAACGGCGAAGACCTCCAAGCAAAAGCAGATATAATAGGACAAATGGATTTCCATCTGTTTATTTGATATGTTATTTAAGATAGAAAGGTATGTCGTTGACCAGTGGCGTAGCCAGCTTAAAAATTTGGTCCTCCTATGTTACTTTTTCTTTTTTCACTCAATGTAAAAACAACAGATTTCTAAAGAAATGAATAATGTTCATGATCTAAAATTTACATTGAAAGACCAAAACTTGTGGGCTGGCTACGCCACTGTCATTGATCAAAACCACATCAGTCAATGAATTTATCCACATCAATCAATAAATTTCTGTATTTTTAGCAATGGTTTAAATGCATGTTAGAAATAATATGTAAACGCTCTCAATATGTTGAGATTTGAGAGCATTTGCACACCATTTTGAGGAGTGTTGATTGCATTGAGCAGTGTTGAGGACTGTTGAGTGCATGGCATTGAGCGGTGTTGAGGAGTGTTGAGTGCATGGCATTGAAGGGTGTTGAGCGTTGTTAAGAGAAGTTTGAACTTGTTCAAACCATTGAATTATAATAGATTGAAGGCTACCTGTAATAAAAAAGCTTAATAAGTTTTTGAACTAATAAGTTCAGACACGCGTGTCTAGAGGTCCATTTACGTGTATCATACGCGCGAAGCTACACGTTACGCGAGCTTCGTTAAAGAAACATGTTTTTATCCAAGCCCTTTTCTGATTTTATTCAAAGATTAAACGCAGAAAAGTATTGTGGCATTAAAGGTGATGGAGCTTAATCTTTATTCAGTCAATTATGATGCTTCCTATTGAATACCTATTTTAAAATGGAAAGTATCGAAGTGTGGAAACTGTGAAAAACAGTGACATCGTTGGTCGTTCAATTTATGCAAATCGGAAGCATTGCAGCAAGTACTTGTTTATTTTGAAAAGATTCAACTGGATGTGTTCAATAATATACATGCTACTCTATGAAATATTTGTACGTACACCTATTTACGGAAGCCCTTAGTTTGGGAGGATGTGACGAGTATTATTATATATTATCTAATTTATCTTTTAAAATGAAATCTCATGTAAGTTTGAACTAAAAATGGTGTTTTTCTATAAATTTGTACGTCCATGGAAAAACATTAATAATAATTGTTTTGGGTAAAATACATTTACAAAACTGATGTTTGTTTAGAATTTTATGTGCTTATCTATGCTACTTTGAAACAAAAACGCTTTAGTTTTTGGCACAATCACAGACATACCAAAACAAACAACAAAAGCAAAATGCCTTCTAGTTATGGTTGGCTATGGCTTCCTTTACAAAAATTTAATTGTCAAAAAGTTATGTACAGTTGGTGTTAAGTCTCATTTGTGAAAGTTTTGTTTGCCAAATTAAGACAAAAAAGAATTTGTGTTTTGTTTTTGAAGCTTCGTAGTTTATACAAGTAATATTACGCTTCTGTCTATCGGCTGTGTGTTTACAAATGCGTGGAAAGACTGGGCTCTACTGGCTTCAAAATATCGACTTACGTAGCCTTCCATCTATTTAGTTCAGTGGTTCAAACTTTCTACTCAACAGCATTTAATATTTTTGAGGAGCAAACTCAGCACAGTTGAGATAAAGCATGTGCTGCAGGCTATACTATTGTAAAAATTGCGTCAGAAGCTTGGTGGGAAGAGACAGACGTTGAATTTTTAGCTGGTCACATGATCATAGAATGAAATTTCCACTATGCTTTATCGTAATAAGGTTAAAGTTCGACATCTTCAGAGCGTTTGCACAAATCATCAAACATCACTAATCAAACTGCATATAATCGTAACCGCATGCTCAGTCAACATGTTGACAGAGTTTGCACGTAGCTTACTAGCGTATTTTCTAGAATTACTAAATATATTTACCTGTTGAAGTGGTACATGCTCCAGTTGTAAATGTAAATTCATCAACAGCAATGTTTACGTAATAACCCGATCCTTCGATGCCTTCAACAATTATCTGTAATAAAATGATGGTCATTTGGTGTAAATCAAACTATATCATGAGTCAATGAGGGGTATTGTTTAATAAACATTAGCAAAAATGATAATAGTTTTGAAGCTTACTCGGTAATCTGAATTGAATCCTGTATATGGAAGGGTTATACTGACGTCGAACCATCTAAACTCACTATTTCTGTCCGTTTTTGACCATTGTAATTTTCTCCTACTTCCTAAAATCTGCTGATAAACGTTCAACAAACCACCTGATATGTCATAATTATAATATGAAAATCGAAAACAAGTGGTCGAACTTTTGAAATAATCACTGACTAGCCAGGCCTTGTCCCCTCTTCTTTGTGAGGATGCCTCCATGTAGGCGTATTTCCCTAAAGAAAGAGAGTATATAGAATAAGATCAAGAAATTAAGAAAAAACTCTTCACAACTAAAATTATGTTTTAAGTGTTTGGTTTTTAAACTTGTGAGGATGTTTAATGAAGGCGTGGTTGACTGCTTGTTTTGTAGTATAAAAAAATAACAATAAGAGCCTGTCTGTTAAACTTTGTCTCTAACATCGTCAGAACTCACTGCAAAGCCAAAATATTAAGATCATCAAGCTAAATATGTTTAGGGTTTTAGTTGAGGTAAGAAATTTTGTTGAAATTAGTTGACGGGTTTAACAAGGCAATGTAAGTGTACTCGGTATAATGGACGAAAACATATAAAAAAAGAAAGTAAAGAACTGCCGGTAATAAGAACATGTAAAATGTAAGATGTTCATAGAAATAACGATTTTTCCTTGAACAATTTTACTGTATAAAGTACAAATATATAAAATGAAAACAAATTTACCAAATGACGAATTATATTTATCAAACCCAGGTCCTGTGTAGTTGGGATTAGTCGAGCCCGAGCCTACAGTCCAGTCAAAATCATCATAAGTGTAACCATCATAGGCAACATTTCTCCATGGACAATTACGTGTCCCCATACCGTATTGAAATGTGCATCCTCGCGCATCTAAAAATTAAAATAAAACAATTCTAAAATATCGACGGACGTAGCCTTCCATCTATTTAGTTCAATGGTTCAAACTTTCTGCTCAACGGCATTCAACATTTTCTTTTTTCAATCGCCAGAAAAGCGTGTCTCAACTTAGTTTAGGGCGTTTGAGCAGCAAACTCAGCACAGTTGAGATAAAGCGACTGCTGCAGGCTATACTATTGTAAAAATTGCGTCGGAAGTATGGTGGGAAGAGATAGACGTTGAATTTTAGCTGGTCACATGATCATAGAATGAAATTCCACTATGCTTTATCGTAATAAGGTTAAAGTTCGACATCTTCAGAGCGTTTGCACAAATCATTAAACATCACTAAACAAACGGCAAATAATCGTTAGCCCATGTTCATTCAACATATCGAGAGAGTTTTCACGCAGCTTAATAGCGCATTGCTAGAATTACGAAATATACTCATACCTGTTGTGGGGTACAATGGTACATAATCACATGCTCCAGTTGTAAATGTAAAATCATCAACAGCAATGTTTACGTAATAACCTGATCCTTTGATGCCTTCAACAATTAACTGTAATAAAATGTTGGTCATTTAGTGTAATTCAAACAATATCATTGTTCAATTAAAAAGTAGTAAAAATGGTAATAATTTTGAAGCTCACCCTGTACGCTGAGTTAAATCCAGTACGTGGCAGAGTTATATTAACGTCAAACCATTTAAACGCTCTACTTTTTGGGGTCGCTGTCCATTTCAATGTTTTTGTATTTCCCAGAATCTGCTGATAAACTTTCAACAAACCAACTGATGTGTTGTAACTATAATATGAAAATCGAAAACAAGTGGTCGAACTCTTGAAATAATCACTGACTAGCCAGGCCTTGTCCCCTCTTCTTTGTGAGGATGCCTCCATGTAGGCGTATTTCCCTAAAGAAAGAGAGTATATAGAATAAGATCAAGAAATCAGGAAAAAACTCTTCACAACTAAAATTATGTTTTAAGTGTAAGGGTTTTTAAACTTGTGAGGATGTTTAATGAAGGCGTGGTTGACTGCTTCTTATGTAGTATAAAAAAATAACAATAAGAGTCGGTCTGTTAAACTTTGACTCTAACATCGTCAGAACTCACTGCAAAGCCAAAATATTAAGATCATCAAGCTAAATATGTTTAGTGTTTTAGTTGAGGTAAGAAATGCCGTTGAAATTAGTTGATGGGTTTAACAAGGCAATGTAAGTGTACTCGGTATAATGGACAAAAACATATAAAAAAAAGAAGTAAAGAACTGCCGGTAATAAGAACATGTAAAATGTAAGATGTTCGTAGATATGACAATTTTTCCTTGAACAATTTTACTATATAAAGTACAAATATATAAAATGAAAACACATTTACCAAATGACGAATTATATTTATCAAACCCAGGTCCTGTGTAGTAAGGATTAGTCGAACCCGAGCCTACAGTCCAGTCAAAATCATCATAAGTGTAACCATCATAGGCAACATTTCTCCATGGACAATTACGTGTCCCCATACCGTATTGAAATGTGCATCCTCGTGCATCTAAAATTAAAATAAAACAATTCTAAAAAATCAAGAAACTGTCTAGTTGTATTACACTATCAAGTTATAACTATTTACTGTGAACATGAAATTTTGCAAAAAAAAACGTTAATTACTATAAAATAGAAAACTTTGTTACTCACATGTTCGTTGCCATGTTGGTACTGTTGTAAGACTGTACAAGGGAGTCGTCGACTGGACATTACAGTATCCATCTTTAAGTTCAATATCATCCACAGATATATCTCCTTTAAAACCAGATCCTCTGACTCCTTCAATAATAATCTATAAAAAACGAATGAGCTCTGGTATCATAATAACAATAAAATACGAATTTATTCCCCTGTATATCCTCCTGTGTTTTTGCCAGGAGATGCGTGTTCCTGACTATACATTTTTTCTAGTTTAGTTTCTTTATGACCAAGACTCTGATTTTGAGTCCTTGTTTGGTGTCTTTATCAAGAAAGGTGTATTTTGATTACTTAAAAACTTCTGTAATGTATATCAACGTATACTATGGTATATTTCGGTGAAACATTTTTATCTCGCATATAAAATCGCCTACTTTATAGTTATAAAATACGCCATTCACATCAACTTGTGCTTTAGACCACGAATTTCCCTGATTACCACTTTTGCTCCAGACTTTATATTCATTTCCGTAAATTTGTCGGTACACATTCAAAGATCCAATATGGTTGCCATACATATGATAGTAAAAGGTGAGACATTTTCTTGAGTAAGAAAAACTTTGGCTGACCAACCATGCTTTGTCTCCTTGCTGTCTGGGAGAAGACGTTTCAAGGAAGAAATACTTTCCTGGTAGAAAAGACAAGCAAGAAGTTATAGCTGAATATAACCTTTCTTTGCACTAGGAGTTCCCTAAATTTAAATACTCAACGCATCGGCATGTTTTTGTTGTTGTTCGAGGTTATAGCAAATTGGTTAGCAGAATTGGTTACCGTTACATTACTCCCTTGGAACAAATGAAGCTTTGAATTGTTCTTAAGCCTGGTTTTCACTAGCGACATAAGCATAAGAACAAACAAAGACAAAAGAAAATACAAATAAAAGCAATGAAGCCACTGACACAAGCATCAACATAAGCATACGCACAGCAACTTGATATAAGCATAAGGTAGAACAAAAGCAAATTGAAAAGAAAATCTCATTTCTTTTTTTTCCTCTAACAACAGGAGAATATGCTTCGCTTTGTTTTTTTTGCTTGCGCTTCTGTGTCTAGTGAAAACTAGGCCATATACTCAGACTTCAAATTAATTCCCTCGGAGCTTTGTTCTTTTTATAAACAGATAATATATGTCCTATATGTTCAATTTATTCTCTGACGAAAATTAACTGATATAGATTTGAAATTAACCGAATTTTTGCTTAAAATAATGACTAATAACTAATTAACATTGACCATAAATTGAAAAGACAAGCAAATGGTAATGGTTGATATCTAACGGTCGGATAACGTGTCTGCCCTTGGACATCCTTAAATTTACTTACTCAACGCAATCAGTAAGTTTTTTTTTTACGGGACTACTGCATGCAGTTTAGCGGACACCTAGGATGCTGACCCAAACCCTACCCTATAATCCTAAGCAAAAACGAGCACGCGCTCCCCAGTCAAGCCCTTGTTGTTTTTAAGGATAATAACGAAACGACTTGGTTGGTAGTACACAGTAATGATCAAATTACTCACTAAGGTCTAATGGAGCATTATATTGTTCTTATATACACAGACTTCAATTAACTCTCTTGAAGTTTAGTTATTTTTGTAACAGATAATATATGTCCCATAATTAAAGCTAATTTATTCATAGACGAAAATTACTATAGATGTTTAAATCAAGCAAATTTTTGTGTTAAATAATGACTAATTTACCATAAATTGACTCTTTTGAGTCTGTGCTTCGACCAGTATTAAAGTTTGATGTACTGCCCCTGCCAATCGACCAATCAAAATCATCGCTTGTTTTCTCATTATGCCATGGACAAGATGTCGCTCCCAAACGGTAATCGCATACTGGAACACAAACAGTCAAACTTTAATTTAAACATTAGACACGCAAGCTGTGTTATAGAATAAGAAAAATACTTCAAAGTTCAAGCATCTATTTATCGCCTTTGTCTGTCAGGAAATCAAGATGAGAGTCAACGAGTAGGAATATAAGAACGAAATTCTGCTTTTTATATATTAAAGCCAGCTTTTGTTACCATTAATTAATTAGAAGTAAGATGTTAAATTCAAAATCATGAAAAGAATTGGTTGAATGCTCAAAAAGCCCATGTTTTTATAAATCGATTGAAACACTGTTTCTGAAATACGTTAGTATAAATATGTATATACAAATGGTTCATAGTAAGTTTAAATCAAGTAGAAGTAAAATCTACAGATATACTTACATTTCTTTACTAAATGGTATAATGTTGAAATCCATGTGAAAATTTATACGTAAAAACTGTGATTTGTCCCCCCCTGAACCACGGAGCATAAAACCTTCAGGTGTACGACAAAATTTTAAACAGGTTAAAATTGATCTCCCTGTACATTTACTTTAAAATTACTATATTACGGTAATATTTATAAAAGGCAATCTGTGTTTTTTCTAATAAAGAAAATAATGCTGTCTTAACTACTGTGGGTGTAGTACCTGAAAGGTACCGTATAAATTGGAGACGAAAGCCATCTTTTGTAACACTGACATCCGAATACATTTGAACAGTAACGACATTGCCACCAGGGTTGAAGTTGAAAGGAGTGTTTTTGTTACAAAAAAGTTTCGAAAAAATTCCTGAAATTTTTACATAATCGTGGTAGCACCGACCTAAATAAACATAGATAAATTATAACTGGTTTTTGTGCCCAAAAATCACGTTTGATGTTACTTTATAAAGTAAAAGAAAATTGCTTTCATTTTTATCTACCATAATTAGTGAAATGTTTTCAAAATTTTTGAATGAAAAATACCTTTGATGAAGACATTAGTTAATATATGAAAGAAATAGAATTTATCCTTCAAAACAAAAGTAGAGTTATATCCAGGGTTGTTATTGAATTCAAGTAATTTTCAACATAACCTCTCAAGTTTTAAAACATATGAAAGTTTCTGTATTGTTCAATCCTTACAGATTCCAAGTCCTCTTTCCAGATGAAGTTTGGTAAACGTGAAACGAAAGGAAAAACCAGATGGTGCTCGTAGCGTTAAGGCACAATTTATGTTATTATCATAATCACTGGGATAGTTAGGTGATGTAATGTAACCACTGGATAGAGTTATTTCTCTTGTTGGACAGATGTTAATGCCAAAATCTATGAATCAGAGAAAAATGCTTGAAAAAGATATAAAACAACAACAAATAAGAAATCAAATTTCTTTTATAACATTTTATATTTCTTAACTGATGACTTACTTTTAGACGAAAAACTTGTAACAAAAAGAACCAACAGAAATAAGCGCCACCATTTTGACACCATAATAGCACTGGTGGATTTACGGTGCATCAAACGGATCCAAACCTGTCAAGTGAAGTAAGTAAAGTTTATAAAATTCTTATATTCCATATTTAAAAATCAAAGCAAACATAGATTCACACTACATTGGTTCAACAAAAAGTTGTTGAAATAAACATTCTCTTGAAAAACCCGGTAGGCCGGTACATATTCGCGTTACTACGCGATTAAAAAAGCAAGTGTTATTTTATTCTAGTCAGCAGTATCTGTATGAATGTATGACATGTTGGCAGTATTCAAAGCTCAAAAAATATTTTGGATTGGCTAGTTCTCAATTTTGACCGGTCTGCCAAACTCTTTGTTGAATAGGAAATTATAGAAATGATATTGTATTGCATTGTGATTTCAGGGCTGAAAGTTTATATCTCACTGAATTGAAAACAAGGATCAATTACACAGCTTCAAGGTAGTCGTTAGATTTTAAATTGGTCATGAAAGCGCTGTTTTCTTGGTAAAATTTACTTTATTCTGTAATATGACTCTCCTACATACAGGTCTTTTACATATTATTCCAAGTGGGCTTGGAATGTTCATCTTCAAAAGACATTTTGAATTTGTTGAGTTAAATTACAATTTTACGACTATGTGTCTTGATATTAAAAGCAAAAAGGTGTATATTAAGCTTTGCTTCCATTTTAGATAAAATTGCGAATTTTAATTGGTGTTAATATAGTCATATCAAGTTCAAAACTTTATGAAAGGGTTAAGTGAACATGCTAGATCCACCAGCACCACCACTGCACGATAATACCACAAACTGAATGGATAATACAAGAAATCAGGCGCACTAGAACTGTCTTTGCATCGGCTACGACATGAAGAAATTTAAAAAATAGTATTACAATTTTTCATTGCAGTCGACAATATCATTTCAAAGCATTTTAGTGTCAAAGTCTGTCTGGCTCGAATTTCAATTTCCAAAAACCGTCTAGGAAGCCTGCCAAGTGCCGACTTTAATATCACTTCATATATAAAAATAATCACCCAGCCAATACGAGTGATCTGATTGTTTGTCGTAGATCATACTAGTATTTATAAAGAAAAGGTTGTACTTGTAATAATTTTTCTAATAATTTGCTGTTGTTGATGTATTGTTTATATTAAAAAGCGAAGGACTCGATCTTGCTCAATGGATATTAAGTTATTTTGATTAAAAATTTTTTCTATTCTACTTCTAAATATCTTAACGTAATAGTCAGTAGCAACTTTAGTCTTCTCTCAAACTCTTTACAAAAGTAAACAATCAAGTTTATCGTCGTCCAAAACCTAAAACTAACATATATTGCAACTGCCGATCATTGTGCATACGGAAATGAATTAAACATAATTACACGTAGGCAACGAGTTGCTTGTGTATATTTATTTAACTTGCGACTTATTTTATCTGCAAAATGTTCCTGCGCATTGAGGGAGTATAGTTTTGTTTATGCGAAGAAAATTTTTTGTTTCTATACTAACGATAAAGGTGGAAATTATCAAAACGAAAGATGCGTATATTTCGCTGTGAACTGTTCGGTTGTCATAGTGCAGTTGAGAGGTGTCAAATTTTTATTTTGATTATAAACATCTTATTCACTTTCTTATTGGAACTTTCACGGTCAAAACTTATTTAACAAACTCTACGTACCTTACTAATTTTCCAGTTGAATATCACGAGTTTTGTTGTTCCTGTTTTAATTAAAAAACCTAATCAGCATGATTATCTGAAATATTTTTTAATTAGGGCCTGATTATATGGAGGCGAGCTAGCCCGATGATTTCAATGGATTAAAGGAGCCAAAACTTCCAGGTTAAAAATTCCAACTGTTTGCCAAGCGCTACACGTCATCCAGGTTGTAATGCTCAAATTTGGGTAAATTGGCTATTTTAATTCTAAATGTTTTGCGTAGTTATTAAATCAGAATATTAAAGACAAATATCTGCCTGAAAAAAGTCTGCCAAAAAAAACGAATAAACAATCTAAATCCTCTATACCTTCTTTTAGGCTTCACACGACTTCTTTTCTCCAACGAAAAGCTATGGAATGATTTATCAATCTGTATCAATATGTACGTAGAGCCTGTATAATTTGCTATAACTTATTACCAAGACCTTACTCATAGTTTCATCAATATAACGAAGTTATTGCTTTTTACAGCTAGATATTTCGACACTCAAAATATATCGATCAGATGGCGATGGCGAGCAAAGAAGTTTAAGCTATCCTAAATGATCAACGTTTATGGCTGGTTCAATGTACAATGAAAAAGAATACGCTTCAGAATAACAAATCTGAAGAACGAGATCAAGTTGTTGTTCATTCACTTCATTGCTATTGACTTTCTAACACAATTCGAAAGCACATATTTGCATTAGCCAAACAGATACTTCCTGAAATGTTTTTCCATTCAAAATTGCTTATCAAATTTGGAATGTGAATTATTTCTAATTCAACAGTTAACAAGCCTTGCGAAATGTAGGGAGCTTTAGCAAAGACATGTGAACAAAGACTCAGACAAAGACTCAGTGAACTCGACATTTGAATAACTGGAATGATAACCGAAGCCAAAAATGGAAGCCAAAAAAATATTCGTCGTCATCATTTGTCATCACACGTCAGTCTCTAGTCTCTCGCGTGTTAATTTAAATTTTTTTAAATCATTTGTCCTTTGGTAATGTTAGAGTTCGGATCTTGATCAGGGCGCAAAAATAACGAAATTTTTGTAATGAAAAGGTTCACGGAAAGTAAATCAAAGTGATAAATCGAGAAGCAAGGTGAGCTAAACTTAGTAGATATGCTCTTAAGCTGCGGTTTTCCTTTAAAACATATCAAAGTCTTTAGGGATATTCAATTATTGATATCGAGATGACAGACATTTAGTATTTCAAGCACTATCGAAATCGATGAAAAATACAATCGCTCTGTAAAAAATAAAATGCGAGTTATAGACTCAATATTTTTTATGAAACTGGATATTCAAGTATCATTTTTCTTCGGAAAAACAGATCTTTAAATCCACTGAAATGACAAAAAAAGACAAACACTGTCTGACACCATAAATTTTGGTGCCATCACCATTACACATTTAATTTAACATACCATCAAGAGGTACACCATTATACTGTTTGATAGCACTCAAAGCATCATTCCGATTCTGATACACAACTTCCGCAGTTCCATGTGATCGCCCCGATGCATCATAACGAACACACGATCGCTTCATGTTACCAAACTCGCCGAAAAGTTCCTAAAAATGCACTGGAGATTAAAAACTACAAACTAAACCAATCATGAATAAATAAATCATAGGACATACTTGAATGTCTGTCTCTGAAACGGCAAAATCAAAGTTTGAGATGTGATGTTTGGTTCCTGTAGATAAGCCACCAGCTACTGACTGACGCTTACTCTCTCCACCATTGCCATCAAAAGATCATGTTGCCATTTGTATGGTAATTGTCGAGCACCAGTTTGCTGCAAAAATCATGGGACAATCACATACATCACTTCATTCACAATTCATAATTATCATTTACCGAGCACCCATAAAAGGCTATATTTTGGTAGCCAAACGCTTGTAAACAATTAATAAAAGTCAAAGCACCAGAGGACGATTATTCTATAATCTATTTATACTATTGTATCTACACCAGGTTATTACATAGTATTTCTTAAGTATTTTCTATCTGAGATATTTTCTGAATTCCTTCGTCTGTCTGACGCTATAAAATACGCTATAAAAATTCGTTTATAACGTTGCCTGCCACCAAGAACTAGTTTCCAGGTCTCTAGTTTTTAGCACACGGTTTCACACAGTTACTCTTTCTCCATCCCGGCCTTCCCACAATACAATGTTTTCACAAGGTTTAACAAATTTTAATGTTTAGCGTGAGCACAGCAACCAAATTAATTTAAACGAAGGAATGTAAAAACCAATGGTAAAAACTCTTGAGAGCTTCAAGCCGTTTTTACATAAATAAAGTATGGTTGAAAAAGTTGGTGTACGTATGCTGTACATTACGGAGTTTTCGCGTTCAGTGAAACAGATTTTCCTTAACACTCAAAGGAAAAGTTTCTTAGATACAACAAAATTTCCAATCTCTACATAAATGCATTATAATTCTACAAAAATAAATACATAATATTTAGTTGCTCGTCAAGCTCAACACAATAAATGTGTGAAAAAGCTTCTATTATTCTACAAGATGTGTCACAAAGAGCAGAATTTATAGTTTTAATCCCTACACTGTGTCCACGGTTGTATAAATGAAATGAATTGCGATGATGGAAGCAAGCAAAAAGTCGGTTTAAAAAATATTTCCACTTCCCAGAGCTATGATTACGCGTGTTTAACAGAAGATGTATAATTTTTATTTATTTTGGCCACCATGATGTTTATTAGATATCTTTTTTACAAGCACAGAGGCTTTTCTGCTCCCAGAACTTTGACGGAAGTACGTAATGCACGCGTGGGAGTAGCATAGTCATTAGGGATTGAAATTATTGCAATTCATAAATTTCTAAAGTTTTCTTGTTTTAATATACTCAGTATAGTGCCATTTTTTCAGAAAAACCTGTACAGACTGTATTAAACTAAGGCTGCGTTTACACTATACCGGAATTGCACATCTGGACATCTAAATTGCTTTAAAGAAGTAACTTTTCGGAGTAAAAGCTTAATTAAGTTGATAGATTTAGTCTATTTATTTGTATTTCTGAAGTTGAACACTTTCACTGCCTTTTACTACAAAAATTTTATCTGTTACGAAAGTAATTCGGTATGGTGTAAACGGGGCTTACTTCTCTTTGAAATCAACGCATTTTGAATTCCCATGACTCAGCAGTAATTCATCTATGAACAATTTGCTCGTCAAAAGAGCGTGGAAATAAATCACTTCACAAATGATTTTCTTGTGAAAGTGATTCGAATTTCAAAAGAAATTAATAGGGCACAACTGAATATATGTATATACACCCCCCAACCAATTAACATTCTAGTTGCACCTCTGCAGCCAAGTTTTTATATATCTTGGCAAATATTTCAAG